GATAGGCTCATATTCGGAATAAAATGGCTTCAGTAATTGGGTCATAACTGTCTTTTTGAGGATTTTTCATAATTTGATATACTTAAAATAACTATTTGGGATTTATTTTTAATCTGACTCGGATAATTTAATTCAGTACAATGTTTTTAAGTTGAGAAATCATATGTTGAAAATCAAACTAATATTTGCCCCTCTTTTAAAACACGGAAAAATTCTGATCCACTTTCCTAATCATTTCATATTAGAAAATATATTTACAATATTACAACCTAATTTTCATATAAATATTAACTAATTTACATTTTATTACATCTAAAACTCTTACATGGACGGTATTCTAATAATTATAAAATTATTTGTCATTTAATCTCGTTGCATTTTGAACACTAATAAAACTACGAAAAAATATATATTTATACAGGGTAGAATTAATACTTTATTATTAGGAAATAGGCTTAAAAATTATGATAAAACATTAATTATAACCTACCCTGTAATTACACAAAAACAAACAAATTAAAAACGACACAAAAATCAATAAATAAAACATAAGTAACTAAAAATGTAAAATAATAATACAGAAATGGCAAGAAAAAATTTAGGCAGAATAATATAATAATAATTTCACTAGCTTATACATCTCCATTTATTTATTTTTTTAAATATTAATTTCACATTTAAACATCACAGCACATTATTTTATACAAATAATATAACAAAATTAACGGGTAGCTTGCAGCATGTATAGGAACCAGATATAATTCTTGTTTTTACTTCTGTAATTTGTTTTTAAACATTCATGGGGATTGAGAATATATTATAGAGTAGGTATCTTATATGATTATAATACCTAATTTCGATGTTTTCAGTATGTACCCTACAATACACTCTATTGTTTCATTACTAAAATTATTTGTTGTATTATTATTATATCCTTGTCCATAGGACAAAACACATTGTTGATACCTACATTAGTAGGTACACTGCAATTTTCAACCACAAAATTTGAATGTGCAACCAGAATTCTCATTCAAAACAACCGAGGATTGATGATCGATTTTTATGCTGAATAAATTTCGAAATTTGAACTCCTAAAATCAAAATTGAACCAAAAAGTTGTGCACTACATTGTTTTTGATCATTCAAGTGGTAAATCTGAGCTAGAAATGTTGAATTTTTGACCCTGGCAGAGCTGAAATTCAATAGAAAAAATGTAAAAATCTTAGTCTAGAGCTAAAAATTTGAACTGAAAAGCATGAAAATTCTATTCCTATTGTCAAATATAAAAGAAATCACCTGATTTCTGGTAACAAAGGAAAATTTACATAAACTAAGCGATGATTCACAAAGGATAAACACATCGTTTTTTTCGGCAGCCGCGAGGCATGGGATCCGGCATCATTACACTCTATACTCTGCAGTAGCCAATCATTATTTTTGCGGGTTAAAATTAATTGAATTCTGTTCATTAGTTAAATGTCGTTTTATAAAATTGAAGTACAGAAGTGTAAAAGGCCAACTTTTACTTACTTCAAGAAGTGCTATGCAGTCGTTTGCGGAAAAAAGAACAGTATTCCTTCCAAAACATCTACCACTAATTGCTTTAAATGTAAAAAACATGGACATGTGTCCAAGAATTGCAGGACGCAATGCTACAACTATCAGAGGTTTGGTCACCGAACACGAGATTGTAGAGTACCCAAACATCCAGGACATCAGGAATCAAAAACGCGTCTTATGACTAGAGACAGACAACAATAAAAAAAAAATTTAAAGAAGTCATCACCAATAACATCACATCTTTCGTCTTTATCGATTTCAGCGCTATCTGCAATCTGATACGTTTATCCGAGGCAAAACAGCTATTCCCATTTTAGACTGTGAAGTAACCCTGAAAGGTTATGGAAAGAACCAGACTACAATATACCAAATAAAATTAAGATATGGTTAGAAGAGGCAACTGTTATTCGACCAAATCATGTTGGAACGCTTCGTGTTATTAGCAAATAATCAGTTCAGGGAGACTTTTACATTGAAGCCTATTTCAGATGCCAACTGAGGACGGAATATGCAATTCCTCGGATCCTTATTCACTTATCTCCAGAAAACGTACCAGTAATACCAATATTAAATTTATCGGGCAAAGATCTTACTCTAAACAATAAAGATCCTATAGCTAGAGCATTCTTCTGCAAAATGGACGCTAGAGACCAATCTGCACGTATACTGCGATTTGAAATTAACAAATTTCCCCAAATAGAAGAAAAAGATATTAAAATTGGTACGAGAGACCATGCTTCTCCTGTGCTCTTAGTTGAGAAGAAAAATGGCAATGACAGAATGTGTGTGAATTACAGAAAACTTAACCTCAAAACAATCAAAGACATATCCACTGCCTTGTATTGATGACCAGATAGATAAATTAAGCGGAAGTTCAGTATTCACCAGTTTAGACCTTAGCTCAGGATACCACCAGATTCCAATAGCTGAAGATAGATAGTAAACACCTTACATCTATTGTGACACTTGAAGGACAATACGAGTACAACCGAATGCCATTTGGACTCAGTAACGCACCAGCAGTCTTCCAGCACATGATGAATCAAATATTACGGCCATATCGCGACCTAGCTGCAGTTTATCTTGACGACGTAATTTTACTAAGCAAAAGTCCCAAAGAAAATTTATGTAGTATCCGAACAATATTCCAAACATTAAGAAATGAAAATTTGACGCTCAACATCATCAACAAATGCGCTTTTCTTTGTTCAAGCATAAATTATTGTCTGGCTAGCGAAACGGCGAACTGCAAAAGAATTTGCTGCTTTGTCAAACTTGACGGAAATTAGAAACAAACCCCTCGTTTTTATTCTCATCGGTGAATTCACCGATGAGTTAGCTATCTTTGTTTAGTGAATGGAAAATGACAATGACCGACATAGAATGGTGGATCCATCGGTAAAATTTGATGAGAATAAAAACGCAGGAAAAATAATAAACAAGTTGGTGACATATTTTTTTTTTGCTATATGGGCATGTGTAATATTTTGAAATAGGAAAAAATCAGGCAACATTGCGAAATGATGGAAGCGGAGAGGCGTGATTATTCAGAAACAAGATTCTATTGGTTAGAGCCTGAACGACAGCACGCAGTGGCGTGGTTATTGGCGAAACTAGAGAATCTTTTTTCTAATAATTTTATTGGTTTATTTTCTTGGTGTTTTCGGTGCCACTGAACTCAAAAACATGGCTGTCATCAGACGGTGTCAGTTGAGGTGTCAGTGAATATTTTTAGGTAACGCCCCAGTTTTCTTCCCCCTTTCGTCTCTACCAAGTTACCACTTGCCAGACTATACTTAGGATTTGAAATAGACCAACATGGGGTACGACGTGGGGCTACAAAAATAGAGGCTGTTCAGAATTTCCCTGTACCAAAAGCTTTTAAATAAGTTCTTCAGTTTCTAGGCTTAACTGGATATTTTAGAAAATTCGTCAAAAATTACTCAGAAATTGTAAAACTATTAACTACATTAACAAAATATATATATTAACAAAAAATATCCCGTGGGACTGGGGATATCCTGAAACAAAGGTTTTTGAAAAGCAGATTAATAGAACGCCCTATACTTGCTATATATGACCCAACTTTAGCATTCACACAGACGCTAGTCAAGACGGCATTGCAGGAATCCTACTTCAGAATTATGAATCTCAATTGAGACCAGCGGCGTATTACAGTAGATGCACTAATAATGCAGAGAGGAAATACCACTCCTACAAGTTGGAAACTCTAGCAGTTGTAGAGACACTTCTAAAATTCCGGGTTTATTTACTGGGCTTAAATTTCAAAGTTGTTACCGACTGCATCGCTTTAAAAACAGCTAGTTCTAAAAAAGACCTCATACCCAGAATAGCTCGTTGGTGGCTCCAACTTCAAGAGTACACATTCACTATAGAATATCGTCCAGGTAACAAGATGCAACATGTTGATGCTCTTAGTAGGAATCCATTGGAAACAGAACAACCTTTTGCAGAAAATTTTATTCTAAGACTTCAAGAAGCAGATTGGGTTTTGTCAGCCCAGCTTATGGATGAAAAAATCAAATTATTAATACATGAGTTTCTAACTAAACCTCCAGAAACCGACTATTAAAAGGATGTATACAAAAATTATGCTCTAAGAAGCAGCAGAGTGTACTGAGTCATTCCCATAGGAATTCAATAGGTCGTTCTTCAAGGTTTTAGACGTCAAGTAGTGAGTTGGGTACATGACGACGGAGTTTGCTACAGAGAAAACTTTAAAAGCATTATGTAAGAAGTACTGGTTTCCTCTAATGCGGGAATATTGTGAGGAATATATTGCCAGCAGCATTCCATGCTTATATCATATAATCCCGGCGGGTCGTTGAGAACGATTTCTTCACCCTATAGCTAAGGAACCGGTATCATTCATACAATTCATCTGGACCACTCAAGACCATTCCAAAAAACATTTTCTGGTAATAGCCATCTAATTGTCGTTATCGACACATTCACGAAATATGTAATACTGTAAAATCTACAAAAAGCAAACTTGTCATACGATGTTTAAAAAAGAAATTTGACACCTTTGAACTTCCCTTTCGTATCATTGCAGATAGAGGTACGGCCTTTTCATCTAATATGTTTAAAAACATTTTGCAAAAACGCACAAAACAAAAATGCTGTAGCTACCCCAAGAGCAAATGGACAAGTAGAAAGGCTGAATTGGACAGTTCTAACAGCTCTCTCGACTACATCCAGTGGCGAGGATGAATGGGATGAACATGTTAAACAAATCCAGATAGCAATTAATAACACAGTTCATCAAATAACAGGAAAATCACCTAATCAACTTTTACTGGGATACTCACCAAGATTGAAAAATGACTGTATTATTTCTGCTGAGCTTAACCTTGAGCACATCAATGAAATGAAAAAATTCAACAAAATCAACTGAAGCAGAAAGAAAAATTCGACATGGACTGGGCATTTCCGGCCCTAACTTTAGGGTCTCTAAGGCATTGGCAAACATCTTAGAATATTCAAGCCGACCTTTGACGTAAATATATGTGCATAAGAGTGTCTCAACCAAAGCCTCAAAGGAAAACACATCTTCATACTATCAGATAGCCAAGCTGCTTTAAAAGTCTAAAGGCTTACAAATGCACCTCAAAACTATAGTCTGGGAGTGTAAACAGACCCTAAAAACACGGACGACAGACAACCAGGGAACGCTGATGTGGCTGCCTGGTCATCGAGGCATAGAAGCAGATGGCCTCGTAAAAGAAGGGGCCTCAACACGATACCATGGACCAGAGCCCTATTTTGGCTCAATGAAAAGCCACATCATGGAAGAACTCAACAAATGGAAGAAAGACCAACTGTCATCATACTAGAGGCACGCACTCCGGGACTCAGACAGTTAAAAAAGTTTATCACCTTTTCAGCAAAAAGAGCTGAACAGTTCCTAAACATGAGCAGATCAGACATCAGAATGGTCGTAGGACTGCACACAGGATACTGTCTGGTGAAATACCACTTAGGGTTAATGGGCAGAGCAGAAGACGATCTCTGCAGATTCTGCTCAGACGCTATAGAGACCATAGAAAACCTGGTCTGCGAATGTCCCGCCCAATTCTGTAAGAGGCTCAAATTCCTCGAGTGGGCCAATTGACACCCAGAAAAATAGCTTCCTTCGGCAGAAGTCTACGTTTCCTGGAGACAATAAAAGGTGCAGAGTCACGTACAAAATATCTGCAAAGGTAGTAGTGCTGAGCTGCTGGAAAGCCAAAACGACTCCCCTCACAATCTACAATCTATGCATTTATTCGACTCGAGATCTATCTATCACATTGAGTAGATATCAAATCAAATATTTATGGATCGAAGGAGCATAATATAATTACATCTAATCCCCTTTCGAATTTCTACTACTCTTCCTAAATATTCATTCAGCATAATACCACAAATCCTCGATCAATTAATCATCACAAATTCCCTATTGCCGATAAGCTACCTCGCTTTCGTTTTAGTGGAGGAAACATTACCAGCCGCGGCAGCGTTTTTCTGAGCAATATGCGTCTGATAATGTTTAGCCAAATGTGCTTTCTGCCTAAACGTTTTCCCACATAAACTACAGGCAAACGGTTTTTCGCCCGTATGCGTTCTGATGTGAACATTTACCGAGTATTTATCTTTAAAGCCTTTCGAGCAGATGCTGCAGTAGTGCAAGGATCGTTCTTTCCGCACGCCGTTGCTCGTCGACGTGGCGTTTTGCAGGTTCGTTTGAGCTTTATTGGAACCGCTGTTCGATCGTTTGTATTTCTTGGTGGACTTGGAGCTCGTAACCACTGGAGCGGTGATTTGAATCGGTGATGCGATGTTGTATAAAATACCTATTTGATCTGCCGAACTGATACTCGCTTGCACGTTGTTGTCTGTAGAAGAAGTATCGATGCAATACTGATTGACTGATTCCGCCACCTCGTTGGCTATTCTTTTGAGCTTTTCGAAATCGGAATAAGGAGAATCCAATTGGCTGAGCAAGAGATCGTCTACGTCGTGTGTGCTCGTCGGGTTTTCCGGTACCGTTTCTAGATTCCGTGAACTGATTTGTTCTTCGAAAACTACTTTTCCGTTTGCATCGATTCCGGCGACTATTGTGGGTATATGATCGGGTTCATCCTTTGTTAAATAGATCGTTTCTGTTTTCGTTGGGGAAGCGGAAAGACACCTACGAAGTTCCGCATTATTTTCCGCTACTTTATTGGATTTTACAGCTCCGTTGTAACGCACTATCGCTTTTCCTTGCAAAGCGCTGCGTAGTAGCGAATCAGGAGAGCCATTAGTTTGAGTATTATTGTTAGTTAGTTTCCAGTCGTTGTTATTATTATTAAAGCTATCGTGCGCTTCTAAAAGAGGAGTATCTATAATAAGTGAGTTTGCAAGTTCTTCTTTGTTATCAGCAAACCCACTATCTTCATAAGTATACGTTTCAGATTTGATAAGTCCATCAGTGTTAGGACTCATCGTACCATCGTTATAGGGACTGTTAAATGCGTTTATTTGACCAGGTATTATACTTAAAATTGAATCAATATCTAAGCCGCCTTGGAGGTGTTCCATTTCTGTAGGACTAGACATTGATACGTCTTCTTCTTTAACCGACAAAGGTTGACGGTACCAGGGAGGATTTTGTTCCAACCCATTAAGTACCGTAAGCGTCGTATAAATTTGCCCATCGGTATTGTTATTATTATTACTACTACTACTACTTTGTTGCTTAATTTGTACTACGCCATTAACTTCGTCGTTGGTCCAGCAGTATTTATTCAAGTCTTCTAAAATGGCAGTTTCGATTTTGACCGTGTCTTTTTCGTTCCAGAGGTTCGCGAGGTTGGCGTCGAAATTGGCGATGGTGTCTGAGGTAGGGGTGGTAGTGGTGGTGGGCATGTCGGGGATGATCAAATTGTTGTTGGTCTCTCTGGTCGCGTCTTCGGTGCCGTTGCTGAGAAACACGTTGACGTTTCGCATTTGTTTGGTGAATTGTTGGATGGATTGGGCGTCGTGAGCGTCCGGATTGACGACGAAATCGAAAAAGTCGGTTTTGGTCATCTCCTGGTCGTTACGGAATGAGTCAGATACGTCCATTATCACAGTTTCTTTTAACTCCATATATTTTCTAGTCGTTTAGTTTGGATGCATTGTTGTTGGCGTTTGGATTTTCTTCGTTTTGTTCGGGACGAGTTCTGGAATCAAGAAAAAATAGGTTTTAGGGCTTTGAAATGGATAAAAAAATAAAGATGATTTGAAAAAAAAAAAATCCGGACATGACTTAAATAACATTCAAACTACTGGCTTTCACTATGTTATTTCTTGTAATTCTATTTAAAATATTCTTTACTACTCAGGAGTCAGAGTCAGTCAGAGAAATTAATGTAAAAGTACATTGTGACAGGTAGATTTATTTATTCAATATTTCCACCAGATATTTTGATCTTTCCATTACAAAAATGAATTGTAAATATAATAAGAGACCTTTGAAGATACATAAATATGTAGTACTGATTTGGCATAGGATTGAATGCCATTTACACAATAGCTTTGCAAGCCAATAACAACCTAAAATTGCCCATAAAATACAGTAAATATTTTTTAATTGTAAAATTACTAATCCATTAAAGCAAACGTTTCTCAATTTTACTCGGGGCTGTCTGTTTTTAACACGCCACCATGAAATAATGTCCCCCAGCGATGTACCTCCCACTCAGTCCTATAACATTTACACATTCGCCTTATAATTACATGAGTTTGACTGACCCGAAAAAAAAATAAGGCCAAGATAATTCATAGAAAAATAATTCGTAATTGTAGATTTATCAAGATCGAAATTGCGTAAGTTAATTATCCCTTCCGATCTGAATAGTGGTAATTTCACTTTTGACACGCTCTTATGAGTAATATTTAATATTTAGTCTTGAAATTTATATCGCATTGCGTAGATTTTATAAGATTCAACTGATTAGTCGTAATTAAACTTAAGCTGAGCCTTGATCTCGATGCCACTTACCTATTCTATTATTTGAAGCTTAGAATATCAAACCTAATGTAAAACGAGCAGCTTCAATTATGGATGTTATGGGGATTTTGGCTTTGACTATGAGATACTGAAGAACAGAAAATAATAATAGCAAGAGATGGGATTAAGTAGAAACGCTGAGCCACCTAAAAAAGCTGAGATTTTGAATAGGAAATGATGAAGTTTGTGGCTAAAATGGCAACAAGTGGGAGTACTAGCGGCACGGAGGCCATGGATGCAACCAAGATTCTCTCGAATACTCCCCTCGAGATGTCGACAACATCCACCTCCAACAACGATACCATTACCCATATCTCCCCTCTTCTAGAGGAAGAGATATAAAAAAACAACCGCCACCCATCTACAAGCATTGAGCTTGAGGAAGCGGCTAATAAGTTAAATTTTATTCAGTGTAATTTGCATCGTTGTAGGGCGGCTTCGGCAACCTCATGCCGCCACCTGGATGTGGCACAGGACACAATAGCACTTATCCAACTTTGGAAAAGACAAAGTACAATCATAGGTTTAAGCACTCTCATTGGTCGAGTTTTCAGCAACCCCAGCAATAACCAACCTGGGACGACCATCTATTGTACATAGTCATACACAACCCACCCACTGACACAGCTATGTACGTCAGACCTAACTGCCGTCAAACTGATGCAGAACAAGAGTTACCCGAGTCAAGATAGTTCAAATTTTGCGTAAAGCTAGACAACAATAATATAAAGCTAATTTTTGGTATATATCATAATTTAGGGCTAAATATTAATATACTAAAAGTCCTGGAGAATCCTCCTTCCACAACCCCCTTTTTTTCGCTCCCAAACCCCCCCTTTTAATATTTTGGTGATTTTCTCGAAAACTATCCACTTTAAGGAAAAATATCAAGAGAGCATTTTAGACAAAATTTCCCTTGCAACGACGTATTGCAAGCCCATATATTATCACGTGGTACGGACCAGTGGCGTGTCAAAAGAAAGTTTGCCCCGAGGTTAATTGAAAGTTCTTAAATGACACAAATTTACTGATTTTAACCAAAAACTATAAGCTTGGTGAAAAATATCGTTACCATTTTTTTTGAAGGTGATAAGATAGCAAATCCATTGATGTATGGAACGACCCCATAGAACCAAAAATCAGTGCCATAACTAGGGCGTGGCGAAGGTGGCATTTGCCACGGGCGCAAGCTTCAGAAGGGCGCAATCTGTCAGTAGTTGTTGGGCGCGAAGCGCCTTTTGCCCAACATACCAAAACTTTAAAGAGCGCTTTTCGCATATTATACTTATACAGCGAAATAGATATTGATATGGTACTGAAACAACCCAGAAGAAGTAAGAAACCATCAAATATGCCTGGTGAGGAAGTAAACGACGAGGTTCATCTTTTCAATTCCAATACACATTTGGAAATTGAACTCTTGCTGATTTTGGTTTTCCCATTGGTCGTGCTAACGGGGAAACGACTCTAGAAGGTTAAATCAAACATAAGGTTATCAGAAACCCCGTAAATGAGAAATATACCCTCTTCAACAAATTGAACTAACGACTGCAGTTGCAGCACTACAAGGAAACAAAGAGACATATTTGCTGAAATAATCAGTCACTTCTAATACATGAATATTGCCTTTTCGAGATCTCGGAAGAGGTCGTACGTAATCCAAGCTGATTGTTTGCTAGGATTCTGAAATTGTTAGTCGGTCTCCCATAAGTCCAGCTAGTAGTTTTTGTTATACTTTATTCTGTGTACAACTGGTACAAGATCTTACATACTTGGTGACATAACATCTCATTTTCGGCGAAAACTAAATCTGGAGCAATTTGGCAGAAGTTTTATACACATCTACATGTCCAGCAACAGGAATATCATGACAGGTCTTTAGCACTGCTATGTGCTTGTCCTTTGGTACCACAATCTCCCAATTACTTGAAGGAGTAGCAAAATCTGGATGGTTATGTTTCAAATATTAATAAAAAATATTTGCCTCTAATCTCCAGTTAGGAAACTTATGTGGGTTTTGAACAACATTATCGATCATCTTCAAAAACCAAGTGTCAGTGGTGTTAGAAAAAGGCGGAATATGGTTCAACTCATTTATCCAGACTGAATCAGAGGAAACTGGCACAGACCTACTCAGCATATCCAGTCCATGATCCTTTCCCTTTCGATGAATAAGTTGAAAATCGTAAGGCTGAAGTCTCAATTGCCAACAGGCCAAGCGCTCTTGAGGATCCTTGTGTCGATGTAAACACCCTCTAAATAATGACCTAACTTCTCGATACCCCAAATAACACTAAGGTATTCCTTTTCGGTAACTGTTAGCTTCATTTCCTGTCTGGATAGTAATCTAGAGAGATAACAGATTACCTTCTCAGCATCATCAGAAGATTAAGTTAAAACAGCGCCAAGACCGTAATTGGTTGCGTCTGTTTGCAGAACAAAAGTGCGCTCAAAGTCCGGACAAGTAAGAACAGGAGCAGTAACTAAACATTCTTTAAGACGAATAAAAGACTGTTGACACGCAGGTGTCCATGGCCATCTTGCGTTCTTCTTTATAAGCGAGCAATGAGGAAAAATTCGGGACGGGTCTTCTGTACCAGGAAGCCGTGCCAACAAAGCGGGGAATTTCTGATACATTAGATGGAGGTGGTATATTTACGATAGCCTCTACCTTATCGGGATCCGGTCTTAGCCACTGTGAATCAACGACATAGCCAAGATAGCTAAGAAAACGTTTACAGAATTGACACTTACTCAACGAAACGATGAGCCCCGTATCAAGAAGACGATCGAAAACGATATCTAGAATTTTTAAGTGTTCAGAAAAGGAGGACGAGACGACGATGATGTCGTCCAAATACTCCATGATTGAGGGTTCCAGTTCCGGACCCAAAACACGATCAACTATTCGTTGCCAATTGGTAGGAGAATTGGATAACCCAAAAGGCATGCGACGAAAATGAAAGAGACCACGACTAGGTACTGTGAATGCTGTAAACTCATGAGATGACTCACTCGAAGGTACTTGCCAAAAGGCATACTTAATATCAATTGAGCTGATATAACGGAAGTTTCTCCAACGATCCAAAATGGCGAAATGTAAGGGATAGGATATGCATCCTTCTTAGAAACTTCGTTGAGACGCCGAAAATCTATACAAAATCGAAATGATCCATCCTTTTTGCGAGCGAAACATACTAGACCAGACCAAGGGCTTTTTGAACGTTCTATAACCCCCAACCTTAGCATTTCCTCAACTTCCTCATCAATAAACTTTTGTTTGGAAGGTGACACGGGATAATAGTGTTGTTTTATTGGTTTAACGCCAGGCAAAACTTCTATCTCATGTTCAGCCACTTTACAGCATCCAAGGCCAGGACTCATTTTTGCTAATTTATTTTCGATAAGTCTGTTGAGATGTTCTCGTTCTGAGACTGTGAGGCTACTTTCGTCTTGCACAGAGCAAATTCAAGTCATCTCAGGTGTTTCGGAAAACTACCAAACATTTTGCCTGGGATCCGGCAAAATTTCCATGATTTTCCAGAAATCTACTCCCAATATCAGTTTATAAGATAGCTTAGGTATAACTGAGATATCGATGATTCGAGTCTTCTCTAACAATGTCATGGAGACTTGGATATATCCCATGCTAGAAGAAGTTTGGCCATTAGCGACAGTACATTTCACCTCCTATTTCTGTAATTTTGAGCCCAGACTCTTTAAGGTTTCATAACCTGGCAAACCCACCAAAGTTCGACTGGCTCCAGAATCCAATAAACCTGAGATAGGGTAACCCATAATTCTTGGCACCAAGTTCTTGCAAATATTGGCTCTGTAAAATGATAATTTCTTATCGTATTGCACTTGACAGATTTACCCCTTACCAATACACCTTAAAGCACATAACAGCAAAATTCCGAAGAAACAGCAGACAGCACGGATTGCTTTTGGAAATAAAATATTTTTTATTATTCAATGTGATATTGAACTTTTTAAATTGTATTGACGTTTCTCTAAATGCGCTCTATATTCCTTACATATACTTCAATGGTTTGCTTTTGAAACAAAAAAATACCATCAGACATTGTTTAAATCTATCATTGTTAAAATTTATTCCTGAATTTAGAAAAATAGCATTAGGATATTGTCAACTCTACATGGGACCACGGG